CCCCCCCACAACTCTTATCTTTTTTGAAGTAATTTTAACATTCTGTTAGCCTCGTCTATTTATCATTGGTTGTTTTCTGCTTCAGAAGATTCAGAAGAAGATGATGATATGGGTGAAAATGCTATATATGATGACACTGAAGATACTTTTATGCAGTCTTATTCTGATGCTCTCAATCAGGAACTAAGCTCAACGGCCCTGAAAAATAGTTTTATTCGTGCCGCAAGGCAGCCCGACACTGAGGATGAGGTAGCTTCTATATGAACTCTCTAATTATATATATACTGTAGTTATTTTTTTTTTCTTCTGCCTTATGGACTAAATCACATTTATGCATATTCTGCATGAACTTTACGTTTTGGTTTAATTCCTTCAAACCAATTACGTTGTATACAGAATGCTTGTATTGGTTAAGTTTTTTTTATTTCCTTTTTTCTTTTTATATTTTTTTAGGGATTCATTTAGAAAAAGGAGGATCTAGATATGATCTTTATTGATTTGGAAAAAAAACTTACGATAAGGTTCCAAGACAAGTCCTTTGAAGTGTTCTAGAAAACAAAAGTATTGATACGACTTATATTCAATTCATTAAAGATGTCTGTACTAGAGCTGTTGTGTTCTACTAGAATGAGGATTGACCAATGATTTTCCTATTTCATTTGGGTTACATTACATATTGGCTTTAGGCTCATTCTTTTTGATGCTCTTACTGGACATTTATAGGAGGATGTACCTTGGTGTATGTTTTTTGTTGATGATATCTTTCTTGTTGATAAGACTAGAGATAGAGTTCGGGAAAAAGTTGAATTATGGAATTATGGAGGTCTACATTGGAGTACATTGGAGTCTAAAGACCTTCGTTTGAGTAGAACTAAAACTGAATACATAGAATGTAATTGTAGTAGTAGCAACTCTAGTGGTAGAGTTGTAGTTATGGGTGTTCAAATTATTAAAAGGTGTCAACATTTTAGATATCTCGGTTCTATTGTTCAAACTTAACGTGATATAGGCGGGGATGTTATTAATAGAATTCAAGTTGGTTGTTTGAAGTCGAGGAATGAATTGGGCCTATTGTGTGATAGAAAAGTATTGCTTATACTGAATGGAAAATTTTATAAGATGGTGGTGAGTCTTGCAATGCTCTATGGTGCAGAATGTTGGCCTTTAAAAGAAAAGCATAAAACAAAGTTAAGTGTTACTGAGATGAGAATGCTTAGGTGAATGAGTGGCTTGACCTTAGAGACAAAATGCGAAATGAATATATCCGTGATAGAGTTTGTGGAGCTCCAGTGACGGACAAGATTAAAGAGAGTTGTCTGTGGAGCTCCAGTGACGGACAAGATTAGAGAGAGTTGTCTTACATTGTTTGGTCACACTAAACGTCAACCATGTGATGATCTGGTTAGGATTGTAGATGTTTTAAAGTTAACTTATGCTAAGAAAGACCATTATTTGGTCACACTAAACGTCAACCATCTGATGATCTGGTTAGGAGAGTAGATGTTTTAAAGTTAACTTATGCTAAGAAAGACAAATATTGACCTAAAAAGATTTTGACATATTCTATAAAAAGATAATTTTAATTTATTAAAATTAAATGAAAATATGACACTCAATAGGACGCAATGGAAAAAAAGGGTTGCTGACATTTTCTGTTGTGTTCTAATAGGACGCAACTAAAGGTTTGTTTTTGTTGTGGTTTTTTTATAGGGATTCATTTGGTGATGTGTTACTTTTGTGTTGCTTTCAAGTTTGATGTTGTGATACAATTTTGACATTTTCTGGCAAAAAACATCGAAAATATTTGCTATTGATATGGATTCTGAACCACGGGGAACCCAATAACATATTAGCTCTCCCTTTGCTGTGAAAATAGCAATGACTTTGTATGGTTAACAAAATACAAAACATCAACAAACAATGTATAAATTAGTTAAGTCTTATAGTCCACCGAAAATATAAAAATTTAATAAAGAAAACTATAGTTTTTTGACTGCCACTTTAAGGAGTATGGTAGAGCTTGTAAGGTCTGTCAAAATAAATAAATAAATAAAATAAAATAAAACAAAGAAGGGAAGATGAATAGTTACCTAGTTTAAGGATTGCATCAACTTCTTATTTCTAGAAGCGAAACTTATGGATCATGCTTCATGGATTAGGTTCTGGAAGTCATCAAGGACATTACTTCAAAATTAGATGAATATAAAACTAAAACATATGATATTATGTGTCAAAATAAATGTTAATAACTGAATGAACTCAATAAAGACATAATCAAACTAAAAGTTTTTATGTATGGCTGTGTAGCATAATTATGTATGTAGCACTAAATTAAGCATAATCAATACATTCAGAAAATATTAATGTAATATATGAAACATCTAAAATAGATTAAATTTGTTTACATATAAAATAGTTAATTAATGAATATTAATAATCAAAGTTTATTTTCTTGATTAGCAAATTAATGATATAATTAGCATATTTAAAAATACATTGCAAACTCAATGTATTTAATGAAAACTATAGAATCAATCGAATATGCAAACAGTTATATGCGATCTATATCATAATGATAAGCCAATTAAGCTTGTAAGCACAAATAAATAATATTTAATCTAATTTTAGCTTTTAAAGTAAATAGGGAATAATTGAAATAAGTAGAAAATAAACTCATTTAAATAGCCAAACATTTTAAAATACTTTTTGTGAGTTCATAAATATTTTGAATACTTTAGATGAAATCTAGTGATTTTATTTATGTTTGTCATACTTGAGATATTGGTAAATCAAACCCAATACAATGAATCTAAATACACAACAAACCCAATTATTTGCTATTAATCATGGAAATTGAATCCTCACATGGAAATTGAATCCTCACTGTGAGTTTTCTTGACTTCTTTCTCCAAGTTGCTAGAAATTGAGTTTCTCAAAATGAAATACTTGGCAAAACATCAGAGGCCTCTCTCAAACACATATTTTGATTAGTTTGACGGCTCTAACGAATCAATGTCCCTTCTTTGAAATATGAGGATACTAACATTACAAATCACTTAGGATTCAATAATCTATATGCTTTAATAACTTCTTAGCTTTTCTTTCAATGTGTAGGGCACATCAAACTCTTGGAAGCACGCAGATGAAGATCTAACACCAGTCGATGTGGACATGAATCTGGTGCAAAGCTTCCTCGAATCCTTCGCATCCCAGCAAGGTCTTCCCGGCCCCGCCTCAAACATGCTCGGACTCATGGGCTTGAATGTTCCGGCGAGCATGAAAGAGACTTAATTTCATACTATCCAGCATAATACATAGGTTAATTGACTTTATCCTATTATACCATAGTAGCATGAATGCAGAATTTATTACACTATGTAATGTATTCTATATTTTATGTACTTCTGAAAGTCATCTGAGATAAAAATCAGATAAAATGAACAGGACAATGTTGAGTCGGTTGTGTTCGGTGCAGGATGCACAAATAATTACGTTTTGTTCATATAGTCAGTGAAACATTCATATCAGATATATTATTGTAATTTTGATAGAAGTTTTGTTTTGTTTAAATTGTATGTAAATTTTTTGGCCCCCTCAATTTAAAGTGAGATTTACATGGCATGCTACATGATTCTTATGTATTTACAGAACTGACATCCATAGTTTGGTATTTACATAGGCTTGGGCTCGGCTTGATAATTGACTCGTAAATTGACCTCGATGAGCTAATGAGCCAAGCTCAAGCCAACCTCTTTAGCTGCTGAGCCCCTTCATTTAAAAAATAATTAATATATATTAAAATTAAATTTTAAAAAAAAATTATTAAAAATATTTTAAATTTTATATGAAATGGTCTCTTATTATTTATTCTTCAAGTTCTTATTCTGTTATTTTATTATAAAATTATTTGAATTAATATTATTTTCCTTTTTTTCATACTAAACAAGTTGATTCACGTTCGGTTCAGTTTGAACTCTTAGATTTTAGCTTGAGCACGAACCTCATTAAGCTCAAGATGATGGCGACTTGTGCTCAACTCGATTCGTTTACAACCCTAATGGTGAGTTTGAGTAGCTGAGAAGAGAGATTTGTTTGCAGTGGAGCTTTTACATGTGTTTCATTATTTATTATTGCTGTGAAAATGTTGCTCTTGCAGTTCTCCAAAAATTTACTTGCGCTCTATTTGGAGATCATTTTAATCATTTTCATGATAAAATATTGTCATTTATGTGAACAACTCGTGTTCGGCTGTTGCCCTTGCAGTTCTCCAAAAATTTACTTGCTCTCTATTTGGAGATCATATTAATCATTTTCATGACAAAATATTGTCATTTATGTGAACAACTCGTGTTCGGCTCGTTAAGAAGCTCATGTTCGGTACGTTTTGACTCGAAATACTACTCATCAATTATGTGTGTGTGTATTAATGACTAGTATTTTTAAAAAAAATTAATTGATTACAAGGCTAAAAAGATTTATAATCAAATAAAAGTATTAATTAAGACAATAGAATAAAAATTATTAAATTAGATTCAAATGATGTTTTAATATAAATAATAATTTTTTTAATTTTGCCCCAACTCTTAACTTCTTACGGCTACGTGATTATGGTTAGGGCTGTCAATTTGGCTCGTTGTTCGTGAACAGCTCGTGTTCGGCTTGTTTGTTGAACAAAGTTGAACACTGAGAGAAGACTACGCCAATGGCTAAGCAGGTTGCCCATATAGGAAGCAATTGAAGCATACGCTTAGCTTCTTCAATCTCTTGCTCCACGAGCCTATTTGCAAGAATATTTAATGGCAATCAATGCTAAATGAATTAAAATACCAGTAACAAACAAGCATAGAAGCAAAAGCATACAGGTTGCACCTTAATTATGCACAATAATTATGTTTTGGTAACTGGTGCTGAAACCAAGAATTCTAACTCAAATATAATTTTCTACGCTACCAGTGCGGGGAAAAACCACTCCCATTTTCAGTATTAAAATGCAAAGCTAGCTTTATATCCTCCCAAGCATAAACGAAGTAGTAGGTACATTGATAACAACCAACCTACAAAAATCAGAGTTCAATATCATGTAAAAAATAATGGTTGACAAAACGACTCTTTGTTCGTGAACAGCTAGTGTTCGGCTTGTTTACACCCCTAGTCACAAGTCAAAATCGGTATAGAAATACTAATTCTGACATCATATTACCCCTTAGAAGTAACACGAGCTAATTCTGTGCTCGCTCATATTCGACTCATTTAGACCCTACCACACGAGCTAATCCTGTGCTCGCTCATATTCGACTCATTTAGACCCTACCCGGAGCATATTTCCCTGACTAGATTACTTTTTTGAAAATAGTAATATTCTGAACAGGATTTATGCAAATATCGCAGAAAGTCAACTACATGGGGGCGAAAGCACAATCATCAGATTCAGATTTTAAATTCCTTTTCGGGCGTTCGGTGTGAACACTGCGTCTGTGTGAACAACCTTAATTCGGTCAACGCCAAACCCACTACAGAAAAGAACAGCGAAAATCCGAGAATAAATAGCTGACCCTGCTGATTCTCCATGTACCTCCGACGGGTTTAAAACCTAGAAAACATGAGTGGAAAGCTTGGATTTTGGAGCTGAAAGAAGGTAATGGAACATCCACCGTTACGTATTTCTCTGGTTTTGTTTAGGGTTTAGGGTTTAGGGTTTAGTACTTTACATGCATTCTGTAAGAGCAATGCTGGATATAACTTCATAAATTCCTACTGCTGTAGAAAGATTTCGCTAGCTTTTTCTTACTATATGTACTTGTTTGTTTGAATCTGGCCAAATCACCTTTTTAAATGCCATGTTATTCTTATTTTCAAGGTAAACCATGGGGAATGTGTGATTTAAGAGATTTATAGTACTTTTTCTTAAAACTTTTTTCTGGTTTTTCATTTAAATCTATGTCTTATATTATCTTATAAACAATTTCTTAAGATTTAATTAGGTTTAAATCCTCCAGTATTTACTAGTTCTGAATTTATAAGATTTGCCAAGTACTGCTTGTACCCAAACCAGCTCCTAAATGCGCTCATTAGTTACAGTAAGTCATTTCAGCTCATTTTATTTCATTGGGATTTTGCCTATGCGGGTTTTGCTCCCCTATTTCTTTGGTAACCAAAACAATAATATTAAAAAAACTTTTCACTCTTAGGGGGTATTTGGCGGCAGACTTTTCATAGGTTTTAAAACTGGATTTCACCTGAATCCAACCAAACACAAAAAAAAAAGGGAAAATCAAATCCAATTCTCCGTTAAATCCAAATCTCTCTGTCTGTTTTTTTCCATTCCGTCTCTTCTCCGGCATAAATCCAGATTTATCAAAGCCGAGTAGAAGATGGATTATGTGGATTTAAGTCGTCGTTCTTGCCTGCCGTCGAGAACTGACCGAAATCTGCGGATTTGTTAAATCCTATTAACATGAATCTTCTGCTGTAGCCAAACATCACCTTATGATTTCTTGCTTATATATATTATTTGGCTGGGGTGATTTGAACGAATTTAATCACAAGCGCACGCACACGCACAACATGCACACCGACAATGCATATTTAAGGGCTTGAACCCAAGACCTCTTGGTTAAAAGGCAAAACTCTCAACCACTAGGTCAATGTGTCTATAATTTTGTTCTTATATAATCATTTTTCTTCTCCAAACTACTTTGGATTTATTTTATAGTTCTTTTTTCTCCATCCATCCATATAGCTGTAAATGTTTAAGTGTTAAAATTTGAGACCCGAATTATGTTGTGCTTCGATCAAAAAGTTTGCAGTGTGACATATGTGGCACAATCAAAGTTATGGAAAAATTTTCTTGGGGATCTGTGGTGGTAGAGGAGGGCATTATACACTCCTATGTATATATATGTTATTTTCATCAGGTTTTGATATATAAAGAAAGTCAGTTGTTGGTGGCGAACCCTAAGTACTTCACCTTGTAATTTTCCTCAAGTGCACTTAATTTTCTTCTCCTTTGCCGATGGCATTTCCTGCCAAGGATTTCCACGTAAATCTACATGTATGATTCTTTTTGCCTTATTTTTTCTTTATCTCATCAATTTTGTAACATGTTGTAACATAGCTACTTGGTGTTTGCATTGTTTAACATTTTAGTTTCATTTATCGCTTCATTTCAGTCATCCCTGTTGTTTTTATGAGGCATAGATCTCTTTTATTGCTTTGCCTGTGTTGTTTTAGCTAAGTGTTCCCATTTATATTTCAGATGGCTTCTCTTCTCTGGCACTGCTCATTCCTCTTATCAGTTCTTGTTCTTCATTCATATGGCTTGAATTCTGAAGGAAAATCTCTTCTTTCTCTTTCAAAAAGACTTATATTGCCCTCCAGCATAAAATCGACCTGGAAATCTTCAGATCCTACCCCTTGCAGCTGGTCTGGAGTCTACTGTAGCAGTCATAACTATGTTGTTTCTCTCAACTTCTCATCCATTGGGATATCAGGCAGCTTAGGACCAGAGATTGGACAACTAAATCATCTTGAAAGAATTGATTTTGGTTTCAATGCTCTCTCTGGTTCGATCCCACCGGAGCTGGGAAATTGCACTCGTCTCCAATACTTCGATCTTTCAAACAATGCTTTCTCAGGCGAAATACCTAAATCCCTAGGAAACTTAAACAGGCTTTCTTATCTCTCTCTCTACAGTAACTTCCTCCATGGAAGCATTCCAGATTCCTTATTTCAAAACACAGAGCTTGAAACAATTTTCCTGAACCAAAACAATCTCAGTGGTACTATTCCACCAAGTGTCGGAAATTTGAGAAAGATGGTCTCTTTATGGTTGAGTGATAATCTCTTGACCAGTTTCGTGCCCGATTCAATCGGAAACTGCACCATGTTAGAGGAACTCTATCTTGCCAACAACCAGCTGAGAGGATCTCTTCCAAACAGTTTAAATAAAATCAAAGGTCTTAATTATGTTGATGTCAGCAGTAATGGCCTTACGGGAAGGATTCCTCTAATCCCAAGTAGCTGCAAGGAGCTGCTATGGCTGGTCTTGTCAAATAACGAGTTTGAAGGAGAAGTTCCTGAAGGTCTGGGAAACTGTAGTAGTTTGAGTATTTTTGCAGCTGGTAATAATAGATTAACAGGCCAGATACCCTTTTCTATTGGTTTATTAACTGAGCTTTTAGAACTTCACTTGTTTGAGAACTCTTTGATAGGGCCAATTCCTCCTGAGATTGGCAATTGCAGTTTGTTGTCAGATTTACAAATTCATGAAAACGAATTAGAAGGGAGAATTCCGAAAGAAGTCGGTAAACTAAGTAATTTGCAGAAGCTCTATCTTTTCAGCAATAAATTGAGTGGAGAAATCCCTGTTGAGATCTGGAAGCTACAAAAGCTTCAAGAAATTCTTCTCTACTACAATAAACTGTCTGGGGATCTCCCGCAGGAGGTTTTGGAGCTGAAAAGTCTTAAAAAATTATCTCTTTATGGAAACAAATTTCGCGGAGCTATACCTCAGGGTCTGGGAAGTAATATCAGCCTTTTGGTGATTGATTTCACTGACAATTTCTTCACTGGTGCAATACCACCTGGAATCTGCCATGGAAGAAAGTTGGAGGTCTTGAATTTGGGTCTTAATTTTTTGGAGGGCTCCATTCCTCCAGATATTGGAAACTGCATAAGCTTAACGAGACTGATTCTTAGCCATAATAATCTCACTGGTTCTCTTCCTAATTGGGCGATTCGATCGAGTTTGAACTACATGGATTTAAGTGTGAATAATTTGAATGGGAGCATTCCTACCACCGTCGGCAACTGTGTGAATCTTTCTTCGATAAACTGGTCAAGAAACAAGCTCACCGGATCTATTCCTCACGAAATCGGTAATTTGCAGCAAGTCGGAGTTTTGAATCTTTCTTACAATAGTCTGGATGGTCATCTACCTCTTGAGATCTCTCACTGTAAAATGCTCTTTCTTTTAGACCTTGGTTTCAATTCTTTGAATGGTTCAATACCGTCAAGCATGGAGGAACTAACAGATATCTCTCGGTTGCTGCTGCAAGAGAATCAGTTCAGTGGAGGGGTTCCTAATTTCCTGTCACAGCTTAATGATCTTATCGAGATTCATTTAGGAGGCAATGTTTTGGGTGGACAAATTCCATCTTCATTGGGTTCATTACAGAATCTGGAGGTCTTGAATCTTAGCAGCAATGGGCTTACAGGTCAGATTTCTCCACTGGTGGCAAATTTGAACAAAGTCCAGAGCTTGGATCTATCTCAAAATAATCTATCAGGAAGCCTCAAACCATTGGGAGAACTCCACTCATTGATTTACGTGAATTTTGCATATAATCGGTTTGTAGGTCCAGTGCCAGAAAAGTTGCGTAAGTTGTTGCAGTCTTTACCGAGCTCCTTCATCGGAAATAATGATCTTTGTGATTCTTGCTCATCTTGCTTAGGTAAAACCATCTTAAAACCGTGCAACAGCGACTCGAGCTACCCGAAAAGCTCACTTAGTAAGATTGAATTGGCTGCCATAGTTATTGGCTCATTACTCTTCTGTTTCTTGGTGATTTTTGTATTAGTTTGCGTACTCCCCATGTGTAGAAAAATAGTGGTGGAAGAATCTCTCTCTTTACATGAAGGTTCTTCTTTGCTTCTGAAGAAAGTGATGGAGGCGACAGAGAACATGGATGAGAAATATGTTATAGGGAGAGGAGCTCATGGAACAGTTTATAAGGCTTCATTAAGCCCAGAAGAAGTGTATGCTGTGAAAAAACTTGTTTTTGGAGCTCAGAAGGGTTCTAGTGCAAGCATGGTGAGAGAAATTCAAACACTAGGGAAAATCAAGCACAGGAATTTAATGAGATTGGTGAATTTCTGGTTGAGAACTGATTATGGACTAATATTGTATAAATATATGGAAAATGGAAGTCTTCATGATGTGTTGCATGAGATGAAGCCGCCCTCAGTTCTTGATTGGGAATTACGTTACAGAATCGCCTTGGGGATTGCTCAAGGTTTATCTTACCTCCATTGGGACTGTAATCCGGCCATCATCCACTGCGACATAAAGCCAAAAAATGTACTTTTGGACTCCGAAATGGAGCCCCACATCACAGATTTTGGAATTGCTAAATTCTTGGATCAATTTTCAGCCACCCCAACCAGTACTGGGATAATGGGCACCATTGGTTATATGTCCCCAGGTGTAAATTCTGAATCTTTGTCATAATTTGCAAAGTCTTATTCCATTTTACCTATTATCTACTTCATTTTCATACATAAAATGCTTCTCATCTCCAACACCACTAAAAAAGTTTTGATTTTGCAGCGTTTGTTCAGAGTTGAGGTTCTCTCTCAGGCTTGTTTTCTGAGTTTTTTTGTTGGTTTTGCATTTCAGAGACTGCATTCACTTCCAGGAGAAACAAGGAATCTGATGTTTATAGTTATGGCGTCGTCTTGATCGAACTGATAACGAGAAAGATGGCGGTAGGCTCGTCTTTTTCAGAGAGCTCAAACTTGGTTAGTTGGGTGAGATCAAGCTTCAGTGGAATAGATGATATGAGTGTGATCATTGATCCAGATTTAATGGATGAAGTTTCGGAATCCAGAGCAGGAAAAGAAATTTGTGAAGTAGTCATGTTAGGCTTAGAGTGCACATTGAAAGAGACTAGCAAGAGACCTTCAATGAGAGATGTGGTGAAACGGTTAACTGACATCAAGTCCAGTGAGATTTGTTTGAAGAAACAAAAAATGAATGTGGCTGGCTCTACTGAGGATTGAAATAGTGGAGTATAGAGATTAGTAGGGTGTAGGATGCATCTACATGAATTAATTTTTTGTATTTGATTCGCGGATTGCTTGTAATATTTTCCACACCCTCTAGTGATATGTATAAAAGTAGTTCACATTAAGGCACCTTGAAGACAAGATTGAGAGTCTGTCTAATGATCAATTGAGGTATGTTGAGAAATTAGGGCAAAGAAGTGCAGGAATCAACAGAACGATCAAGAACAAATATAAGGATTTAACGAAGTTTGGCAATGTGCCTACGTCCTTAGGAGCAATGAGTAGCGGCCGCTTTTTGATTTCTTGAATACAATACATGCCCTCAGGGTTACAAACACAATATATATATATATATATATATATGTAATTACACAATTATCCTGTACCACACCGTGGGGACTTTTTCCTCGCACCCCCAACCCACTTAACGAAACTCCCGTAATTAAACAGATGTATGTAATTAGAAAATTATCCTGTACCACACCATGGGGGCTTTTTCCTCGCACCCCGAACCCACTTAACGAAACTCCCGTAATTAAACAGATGGTTATGCTCCGCTCCACTCCAAGATCTGTCTCTTATTTAGTATATGAGCCATATCAAACAAGTTTCTCCCCGAAGCTAGCTCTTCTTTGATGACTCGGACTGCCCACTTGCAAATTGACTTGTCCTATTGTGGAAAATTTAGAGACCCATTTTTATATTATTGGATTCTTCTTATTTGACAGTTTGTTTCATTATAAACTTCCTGAAATCGAGAGTCTGGATTTTTTTTTTTAATTTAAAGACTCATACTAAATTATAAAATTTCTTGATGACGCATAAATATTTATAGTATGTGCTCTCAAAGATGATATAGTGATTAAGAGTATAACATGAGATTGTAGATTTGAATTGTGCATATTGCCTTTTAGACTTATATTTTTCGAAAAAAAATTTTTTTTATCATACTTTAATGTCATAATTTAGGCACTAAGAAGCTTATTTCTTTTAAGAAAATAAATTATTGTGATAGTTTTATTTGAAATTAAATTTTTGAAAGCGAAATATATAAAAAAAAGAGAGAATTTAAAGTGTTGATTATGTAAATAGATAAGAATTAAAATTAAACAGAAGAGGACCGCACAGAGTCCAGATGAAAAAGACGGCGCGGTGATCCCACCGTCCGACGATGACAATTCAAAGTCGTCCCTGAAGTAACGTACGGTATGGATCCAGTCTCTATTTTCATTCAAACTATTTTAATATAGATATATTATTAAGGTAAATTTATGAATAGTTAAATATGATTTGAGATTAATTTTCTAAACGAA